GTTTCTAAGTTCCTCATGGCCTCCCCTGAAGGTCCCCGCTGCTCTTTGACTGCGTCGCCTGCAACAGCCGCCCCACCCGGCAGTGACAGACCAGGACAGAGGGGGCTGCCCCACAGGAAGCAGCTCCGCCACCCCAGCAGCCCCTCTGGTCCCCCCACGCTCCTACCCTGCATCCTCCATCCCTGCTGCAGGAGACTCCCTTCCCTCTCCTGCCCTGACGTCACCTGCCCGCAGGTTCTCTCCTCGGATGGAGGAATCCCCCCTTCTCCCTCCGCAGCAGCATCGGCCCCACACCGGCAGCCGAGATCCGCTCTTCCCGCTGGATGAGCACGGTGGCACCAGCACCGGCACCGGTCCCTGCTGGGGAACCCTTGGGAGCGGCACCCCAGGGGGTTGGAGCACCCTGGCACGGGCTGGGGGTGAGATCTGGGCTTGTCCTGCCCCGGCCGTGGCTCTGAGGATCCCTGGGGCTGCCCTGCTCCTGCCAGGCAAGTGACGCTGGAGGAAGGGGAGATGGAGAGGATGGGGACAGGAGGGGGGGGTGCTGGGGACTTGGTGCTGACCCTTGTCTGAGCAGAAGGGATGGGCAGGGAAGAGGACAGCACTGAGGCATGGCATGAGCAGAGCAGCGTGTCCCTCTCCTGTATCACAGTGAGGGAAAGGGGGCACACAGGGGTAAGGGGTCTGGCCGAGCTCCCACTGCATTCAGCTTCTCGATACCATCCTGGAGCACTCGGCTCTGTCCCTGCCCTCCCCTCCAGCTCAGTGCAAACCCAGCAAAGCCACCCTCCGTGTCCAGCACAGCGGGAGCAGAGGGAAAGCCCAGGGGAGCAGGACAAGAGCACCCGGAGCGGGTCCTGGGCCAGAGGCCAGGCTCTGTTCACAGGCTCCTGCTCCAGAGCCGAGCCGTGGGAACGCAGGGTTTAGGGGGAGGAATCAGACGGATCTCACCCCCTTCCCCTTTCCCATCCCTCCCTCAGCCCCCACAGCAGCCCCATGCACGGAGCCTTCACCCCACACTACAAGGATGAGCACTGCCCACTTTGGGGGGCCACCGTGCACCACCCGCAGGTGATGCTCGGAGAGTATCAGCTCTGGGAGATGATTTTCCATGGCTCTACCTGGTTCCTGCAGTGAGTCCCTGCCCAGGGCATCCCTCATCCTGCTGTGCCCCCCAGAAGAGCTCAGTGCCTGCTCCCCGGCACAAGGGACCCCAGGGACATGGCTCAGGGACTTTGTGCAGGGCAAAGCAGAGCATTGTCAGCATTGATTTGCTTTTAACTCTTTAGTGCTCCTCTGAGGAACAGGGTGCCTGCATCCGAGCACCCAGAGGCACCGCTTGGGCTCAGCACTGAGCAGGCACCCACTGTTGCTCGCTGCCTGCGCTAAGGGAGGGGAAGCCAAAGCCGGGCTCTGAAGCAGCAGGAGCTGCCCTGCTGGTGCTGCAGGATTAAGCCATGGGCATCACATTGCACTACAGTGAGGTACTGGATGGTGATGGACAGGCCCGGTGCAGCCAGAGCCCTCTGCTAGGATGAGGTTTCCGTGTTGGAGCTGCAGCAATGCGTCAGCCGGGCTGTGGGCATTTCATGTTGGGTGGGTGGGGAGGGAGGGATGTGTGTGGAAAACAGGGAGGTGATGGGAAGGGGTCACTGAGCCCCCTGCCCCTCATGGGAGCTGATGTTCACACCTGCAATGGCCAGCTTTGCCCTATGCTCTGCCACCACCGCCCAACTGATGGCAGAGGGAGTCTCCAGCAGGAGCATCTCCTCTCTGTGCTGCTTTAATGAGGAGCATAGGGAAAGCCTGGCTTCCCAGCCCTGGGCAGGACCCTGCCCCGCACAGCGTGGGCCTGGATCAGCTCTGTCCCAGCAGAACCCCCAGCCAATGCCATTTCTGGCAGCTCAGATCTCTACAAGGGGACTGAGATGGGAAATACCCCATTCCCCCCTTTGCACCCAGGGGATCTCCTGTGCTGGGGATAAGGGGGTGCAGGTGAGGGGCGAGGAGCACAGGGGCTGCCACCGGCATCCCAAAGGCCACTGAAGTGGGGTGGTGCAGGGAAGGAGAATGAGGTGGCTTGGGGGGACTGCCAGAACCCCCCCCCCCCAGCTCACCCCAGGGGAAGGAGCTGCAGCACTCGCAGTTAAACCCATGCGAACCAAGCCCGCTGCTGGCTCCTTGCTCGCTAACAAAGCGCAGCCCCGCTGCCCCTGCGGGCGGGCGGGAGGCAGAGTTTGCCCTCGCAGCCGCTTGGTTCCAGTGGGAGCTTGCCCTCAGGTCGGATCTGCTCCGCGGGGGGGGGGAGCGCAGTGACCGCGCTGAGCCCGCACGGGGCTGGAGCGGCTCCGCTGCCGCCCCGCACGCACCGGCCCCGGGCAGCCCAGGCTCGTCCCAGCGCCCGCACGGACCCGAAGCCGCCGCTTTGCTGCGGGTGCGATGGGGCTGACACCGGGCGGGGGTTGCTGGGGGTCTGCGAGCCCCGGTACCTGCGCGGTGCCCCCATGGTTCATAAGGAGCCAATTCCCCTTCCTAGCCCCAACACTGGGCAGGCAAAGAGCACCAGCTCTACAAGCCCCCCTGGATTGCCCTGCATGGAGCCATCCTCGCTGTCTCCTCACCCTAACGTGGGCTGAGCATCACCCCAGGCAAAGCTTCCAACCGTGCCCGCCCTGCCGGTGCTCAATAGCCAAACCCCGCTCTGCTGGGCAGGCTTTGGGCTCGCAGCCTCCCTGTTGCATCTCTCAGCTCCTCACATCAGCACTAAAGCCACCCTGGAGTTCTGCACACGAATGAACCGCGCTGCCGTGTCTCTGGAGGGGTTCCCAAGCTTTGTCCTGACGGGAAGAGCCTTCTCGTTGATGGAGACTCCATGGGGAGGTTCCTTCCCTCCCAGACCTGCACTGACTGCACCGAACAGGCAGCGGTGCAGCCCCTGCAGCGAGAGCTCTGGATCCGTGACGCTGCTTTAGAGCAGGGATTGCCTTCCCCATCCTGGGGGGTTCTCTCAGCCCTTGCTGTGAACAAGCGGACCCCAAAGTGCTCAGGGAGCCTCCATCCCCTGTGCTGGGGCTGCGCTCCCTGCCCAGGGCTGCTCCAAGCAGGAATCAGTCACCACCAAGGCACAAAGAGCAGCACGGATCCACAAACCAACCTTCCTGCTTCCAAGTCTGAAACCAGAGCTGCTGCTTCCCAACGCAAGGATACCTCTGCCTTTCCCCGCCAGCCTCACCCCCATGTATCCCGCTGGACTTCAGCCCTTCTCCTGCTTGCCCCATGCAGGAAGCCGGGACACGAGGGCTGAGATTTGGGGGAACCTGCTCCAAGCCACATCCTGACCAGGAGCCAAGGAGGGATGCGAAGCAACGGGGCACTGCAGCCACCCCATCCCGCACTGCACAGGCAGGAGGAGCGGGGGGTGGCTCTTGTACATACCTGTATATAGCGGCCGGGCCAGCACTGGGGTTCGTTACCCTCCCGTTGTACAGACACTGCGCTGCCCCTCTTCCTCTGCTCTTTCACCCCAACAGGCGGCTTGTGCAGGGCAAGGGAAGGGAGCTTTACCCCGTCCTAAGCACAGGAGCCCTTCCCTGCCGAGCCAGCTCCGTGCTGCCACCCCTTGTACATAGCCCCCTGCCCCACTGTGCTCTGTGTTGGACCCACCGGCGGGTCCCCGCTTCCCTCCATGGCCGTGTCCCGGTTTGTGCCCCACGGAGGGAGCTGGGGATGGGCTGCGAGGGGAATAAACGGGTTTTCCTACAGCTGCTGGCTCTGGGTGTGTGTGAGGGGGGGCCGGTGGGAGCCGGTGGGAGAAGCCAGGCTTGGGCACTGCAACCTAGAGCCGCACTAAAGGACAAGGGGGGATCGCTTCTTCCCCACATCCATCTCCCCGTGCACTGCTGGTGCGGGGTGGTCTCTGCTTTGTAGGGTCCATGCAGCGGGACCGATTCCCCCCAGAGCCCCACAGGATCATTCCCTGGGCACGGAGCTGTATGCACATGTGGGTCAGCGTGCCCCCTAACCTGGCTGGGTACAGCTGAAGCACAACCACACTCTGAGGCCAGGGGCTGCAGCAGCGCCGAACAACCGGGTGGGAGAAGGAAGCTTCTCCTCCCCTCGGGGCTGGTTGTGGTGGGATCAAGGGCAGGGGAAGCGCTGCAGGTTGAAGCTGGTGGTGAGATCAGGATGTGCACACAGGGGGAACAGTGATAGGGAGAACCCAGCTCTGCTGGGAGCTGAAGCTTGGCTCTGCCACCAACAGCTTCCACACCATAACCCCCTCATTCCAAAACACCGTTTTCCTGTCGTCCCCACCCCATTTACAACGCAGTCACCAGGGGTTTATGCGATGTGAATACAGCCCCCCCCAACCTGGTCCCACCACATCCCGCAGGGCATCCGAGAGACCCGAGAGCAGCTCCAGTGCCTAAAGGGGGTGCAGGAAACCTGGAGAGGGGCTTGGGACAAGGGCCTGTAGGGACAGGCCAAGGGGAATGGCTTGAACCTGCCCGAGGGGAGACTGAGCTGAGCTCTTAGGCAGAAGCTCTTCCCTGTGAGGGTGCTGAGGCGCTGGCACAGGGTGCCCAGAGAAGCTGTGGCTGCCCCATCCCTGGCAGTGCCCAAGGCCAGGTTGGACACAGGGGCTTGGAGCAAGCTGCTCCAGTGGAAGGGGTTGGAGCTGGAGGAGCTTTAAGCTCCCTTCATCCCCCCCCGCCCTGCGGCTCTGCCGGGCACAGCCACTGGCAGGGTCCCGATGCTCGGTCCAGCCCCGCTGTCTCCCTCTAGCGCTGCGGGGAGGCGCCAGGAGGGGCCCATTCCCGGGAAACGGGCGCCAGGGCAGGATCCACCCCACAAATCCCGATGGAATCCGCGCTTCCTCCAGCCCCGCGTCGCCACGGCAACCGCGCGGCTCTGCCCTGCACAAAGATGGCGGCGCCGCGCCCCGCCCCTCCCCGCCGCCCTCCCCTTTCCCGTGCCCAAGATGGCGCCGCCCACGTCAGCGCGGTTCCGGGCGGCGCGGCCATGGCGGCGCGGGGCGCGGAGGCCGAGGCGCTGTTCGAGGCGCACACAGCGGCCGAGCTGCGGGCGGTGGAGCGGCGGCTCCGCGCCGACATCGAGCAGAAGCGGGAGGAGCTGCGGCAGATGGTGGGCGAGCGGTACCGAGACCTCATCGAGGCGGCCGACACCATCGCCGAGATGCGCCTGAGCGCCGAGCGCCTCCTGGGCGCCGTGCGGGGCCTGCAGAGCGGCGGCGCGGCCCGGCCGGGCCCCGCGGTCCCGGTGAGGGGATGGCGGCGAGGGGCGCGGCGGGGCGGGCTCGGAGCTCCCCCCTTGACCTCCTGTTCTCCCTCCTGCAGGCTCGGCCGCCGGCTCAGCAGAGCTTCTACCGGGCGGCGGCGCAGCTGAAGCTGCTGCTGGACGTGCCCGAGAGGGTGTGGGGGGCAGTGGAGGGCGGCCGGTACCTGCCCGCGGCCCGGCTCCATCTGCTCGGAGCCCACCTCCGCCGCCAGCTCCAGCTCGATGCTCCCCGGGCCCGCAGCAGCCCGGTCCTTGCCCGCTTCCCCATCCTGCTGCGGCAGGTGGCTGCCGCCAGCCACCTCAGGTGGGCGCTGGGGAGGAGGCCGGGGGGATGCTGGAGGGGGTGCCCCATCCCTGTCAGTGCTCAAGGCCAGGTTGGGCACAGGGGCTTGGAGCAAGCTGCTCCAGTGGAAGGGGTTGGAGCTGGAGGAGCTTTAAGTTCCCTTCAAACCCAAACCATTCCATGACCGCAGAACGTGGGGCTCTCAGAGCTCTCCCAGCCCCATAACCACACCTGAACCTATCCCTCCATCACCCAGGCGCTCACTGTTCACCTCCTTCCCTTCCAGATCCACCATCCTGCAGGAGAGCAAGGCCCTGCTGAAGAGCCGCACGGTGTCGGACCAGGCGGTGGCCGAAGCCCTGTGTGCCATCATGCTGCTGGAGGACAGCTCGCCGCGCCAGGCCCTCGCTGACTTCCTGCTGGCCAGGAAGCTGGCCATCCAGCAGCTCCTCAACCAGCCCCACCACGGTCAGTACCCCTGCACCTCCTCTCCCTCTTGCCCCAACAGGAGCGGGTGGGCTGGGCCTGTGAAGCTCACTATGGTGGGGACACAGCCCCCATGGCACTGTGGTGATGGGGCTCACAGCACTTGGTCCAGCACCAAAATGCCATGCGGATTAACAGTGCTAAGGACCTGAAGCTAAGCTCATCTGTAAAGGAACGAGTGTTTTGCCCTCCAGCCCTTCCCTGAAGGCTCACTGCAAGCACAGGGCTCTGTTGGAGGGGCTGCCTCAACTGAAAGGCATTGCTCTGCAGGCGCAGGTATAAAAGCTCAGGTGTGCTCGCTGATGGAGCTGTTAACCACGACCCTGTACCAGGCCCATGCTCTCTTCTACACCGTGCCCGAAGGGATGCTGCCGGATCCAGCCCTGCCCTGTGGTTTGCTCTTCTCCATCCTGGAGAGCGCCACAGGCCAGCACCCAGCAGGTGAGGGCACAGGCAGCTCTGTTTGCAGGCAGGAGGTTCCCCCCGTGCTGGGCTGATGCCCTCCCTGTCTCCTTGCAGGGAAAGGGGGGGTTCTGGAGGAGGAGCTGAAGCTGAGCAGCTGGTTCCGGTACCTCCCGGAGGCTGTGGTGGAGTTCCAGCCGGCCCTGCGGACCCTGGCCCATCCCATCAGCCAGGAGCACCTCAGAGAGACGCTGCAGAAGTGGATCACCATGTGAGTGCAACACCACCCACCCTGCAGTTCTCTCCCAGGCACCACATAGCACAAAGCAAAACCAAGCTCATTTACATCCTCCTTCACTGCAGGCAGGCTGCTTGCCCAGCCTTCCTTTTTCCCTGCAGTTGAACAGCCAGAGGCAGCACTGCCCCATCCTGACAGCCAGGCTGTACCACTGCCATAACAAACCACAGAGATATGTCTAGAGCTGCCTTATTCTGCTATAGCCACCAGCAAACAAGCACAGAGTAAATGAGAAGGGAATCTCTTACCTGGCTCACTTAGCTCTTGCTCCAGCACCTCCTTTCTCCTCACTGCCCTTCCCTAGACTGGAAGAGGGAACCAGCCACCCTTTATAGGGCTGCCAGCTCCACCCCAGCATGCCTTGCCCTCCACCTACAGCCCTGCCTGCCCCTTACAGCCTCATTAGCAGCCTCGTTAGTCCTGTGTCATTATCTGATGGAGCCAGCTGGTCCCTGCCCCAGCTGCAGCCCCGCTCCCCATGTGTTTGCTGGCCATGGGATGTGTCCCCTGCATTGCTTCCCAGAGCCCCAGCAGCCCTCCCTGCTGCCAGTGTTCCCGGGGCACCATGCTCCCGGTTTCAGTGTGTTCCTGGGCTCTGGGGTGCAGCTGCCTCCCCCGGAGGCACCCTCAGCCCCATAAGTGATTCCATAGGCAAAGCCTCTTCAGGTTAAGGAGCCCACATTCCCTCCTGCCTTCCGTGGGGCTGTGCCTGAGCAAGTCAGTGAAGCCAAACGTGTCCTTCAGGTGCAGTGAGGACATCAGGGCAGGGGTCAGCAACCTGCTGGTGTATGTGAAGAGCATGAAAGGCCTCGCAGGGATTCGTGATGCCGTGTGGGAGCTGCTCACGAGCGAGCCCGTGAGCCACAAGTGGGATGCGCTGTGCCATCGCCTCCTGGACAAGCCTGCTTCCCTCTGGGAGGATCTGCTGCAGCAGCTCTTCCTGGACAGGCTGGAGGTGGGTGGCAGCTCGGGGGAGCCTTGCTCTATGCTCCCCCTTGTTCACTGCTGGTGTTAGCGTGTGGTTTAAGTGCTGTAAGCAGCAGGAGGCACATTGTAAAAGTGCTGTTGGGTTTCTGTTCCAGACCCTGACCAAAGAAGCGTTTGACTCCATCTCCAGCAGCTCCGGACAGCTTCTCACCGTCGCCTTGCAGGAACTTGAAGTCCAGCCCAGCACCTCTGCCCCGAGCAAGCACATCCAGTTGGAGCACAACGTGGCTCTGTTCCTGTGGTCAGAGAGCTCCAGCGACCTGCCCTGCGACGCGGCGTGGGTCAGCGTGGCAAACCGCAGCCCCTTCACCAAGAGCGGCCTGGCCATGAAGGCGCAGGCGCTGACGCCGTGCGTGCAGAGCTTCTGCTCGGCTCTGGACTGCAAGCTGAAGGCCAGGCTGGATGATCTCCTCTCCTACCTCCCCGTGGACCCCTCGGCCAAGGAGGCTGCTCCTGCTGTGCAGCCACGCTCTGCCTTTGACCGCTATGCTGATGCTGGCACAGTGGAGGGGCTGCTCCGTGACCGCTGCATCGCCTGCATCCACCATGTACTGGGCTGTGTGCGTGAAGAGCTCCAGCGCACGCAGAGCCTGCTGGGGGGGCAGGCGGATGCTCCCAGTGATGCCAGGCTCAACGCTGTCCTCTTCATGGCCAGACTCTGCCAGTCCCTGACCGAGCTGTGCCCTCACCTGAAGCAGTGTGTCCTGGGCCGGTCGGGCAGCTCGGAGATGGTGCTGAAGGAAACCCGCTCCACCAAGAAGCTGGGGAAGGGGAAAGGCCAGGAAGTGAGCCCCGTGCAGGCCAAGTGGCAGGGGGTGAAGGCAGAGCTCCTGCAGCAGAGCCTCTTTGCTTACCAGATCTGGAGCTCGGCTGTCACCAAAGTAAGGAGCTGTTTCTCCCCTCACCACTGCGTCCTGCATGGGTTGTGCTGGCTCAGCTCCCTGTGGTCAGCGCTGCTGCTCCTTAGCTGGTTGCTGAGAGCTCGCTGTGCTGCTTCCGTGCTGCTAAGTCAACTCATGGGGAGAGGAGGTGGCATCTAGTGGGATGGTCTCTGTAAGACTCACTTTGGGAGTCATGGGGGGCTCTCTGCAGGCAGGACCAGGCTGCTTGTCCCTTGATGCTCCCGTTCATGCTGCCTGTCCTCTGACTGTGTGCTTTGTGTTTTGTGCTGTTAGGGGCTGGTCGAGTGCTTTACCCGCACGTTGCTGCTGGACACGGCTGGCTCTGTCCTGGCCACAGCCACCAGCTGGGATGAAATTGAAATTCAGGAGGAGACCGAGTCTGGAACCACCGTGACGTCCAAGATCCGGCTGCCCATGCAGGTACGAGGTACATCTCCATGGTAAGCACACAGAAACAGCCTGCTGGGGGGAGAAGCCTCCAGAGCCAACATTTCGGCCTGCTGTGGAGTTTGCTTGGTATTACAAGCACAGCAAAATGCTCCCCAGTGCTTTTACTTGCTCTCTGAGATACCTCCTAAGGACAGGGGAAGGAAATGAGGGAGCTGCTGCTGTAGATTCAAATGAAGACCGTTGGCCCAGATCCTGTAAAACTGAGCTGAAGGACTTAAGCCTGGTTTATACACAGAAGTAGGAAGCTGCTGAAGTAAAGCTAACGCAGCTTACAGACCATGTTAAACTAACAGGGTTTTCCTCCACAGCCCTCCTGGTGCGTGCAGTGCCTCCTCTTCAGCCTGTGCCAAGAGGTGAACCGGGTCGGTGGCCACACTCTTCCCAAAGTCACCTTGCAGGAACTGCTCAGGGGCTGCATGGCACAAGTGCTTGCTGCCTATGAAAAGCTTATGGAGGAGAAGCAGGAGAAGGTACGTGAGCAGGATGATCCCTCAGCATGGAAGGTGTCTGCCTGTGAGCGTTGGAAGGGGTGAGAACAGTCTTCCCCTGCGTGCCCCAGAACTGAGGCAGTGAGGGATCAGACACCAGACTGCTCAGAAAGGTTGTTAGGTTGGATGGTGCTTGATGCTGGTGGTTCTAAGCATTTCCTTGAAGCGGTCCTTTGACACCTTCTGTGTGAGTGAAGAGCCTTGTTCCTGTCTGTCCTGTTTGCAGAAAGCAGGCACCTTCCCCATGACCCAGAACAGAGCTCTGCAGCTACTCTATGACCTGCGGTACCTGAGCATCATCTTGACAGCAAAGAGTGAGGAAACAAAACCCAGCAGGATCAAGCACGACTCCAGGTGGGATGCAGTTCTGGGGTTCAGATACCAGCAGGAGCTTCTGGGGCCCTAAAATGGTTTAAACCAGCAGCTTGATCAGTGCCAGGAGGATGCTCATCCTCAAAATATAGGAGGTGGGGTGGAATTCTGCAGCCTAGGGCTCAGAGATGGTGGCCTCCTGTACCCAGCATGTCTATATATAGAGTTAAAACCTTGTATATGCTCCAGTCTTGAGAACCGAGGCATCTCTTGGACATACCAGAGGGAGGAGGTTCCTCTGCAACAGCAGATGTTGTAGGTTGTGGAATAGCTGGAGATTTCAGCTGTTCTGCTGAGTAATTCCCGTTTTTGCTCTGTCACCTCATTGTGAAACCGCTCTGTTGGCCTTGGCAACCGGTGCTGGGATGTAACCCCTGCTAGGGCTCCTCTGCTCTGCTCGTAGGATGGAGAAGGTGATAGACTTCCTGGAGGGACACATAGATCCGTTTGACTTGGACGTTTTCACTCCACACTTGAACAGCAACCTGAATCGCCTGGTTCAGCGAACCTCCGTGAGTTCAAGGCACAGGAAGCAAAACATGTTCTGAAGGGCAGCTTCAGAAACTGCTTAATGCCTAAAGATAACTGCAGGCACTTAGGCAGAAATGGGAAGAGTATTTAATGCCAGCTCAAGATGAGTTGGCTGAACTTTATCTAATGGGATTCACTGGAGCCTGTGCAGCTCTAATCGGGTTAAGTAGTGCTGAAACAGGCCTAGAACTAACCTACCGTGATAAAAAGCAGCACCAATTAAAAGCAAGAGTCACAGGGGGAAGGGAGACACTGTGTTCAAACTTAAACCAAATCCAAGCTCTGTGCTCACCAGTGTATGGTGTGCTCAGCTGCTCCCAAATGCAGACAGCCCCTTGATGCCTCCTAGGTTCTCTTTGGCTTGCTGACCGGGACGGAGAACCAGTACACGAGCAGGAGCGGCACGCTCAGCTCCCAGGAGCAACACAACATCTTGCCATTAGCATCCAGCCAGATCAGGTAAGGCATTCATTCCTGTGTCCTCTGGGGAAGCAGAACGTCTGGAATTGCTGCCTCCCTCTCACTGGCCACGTTTCTGTCTTGCATCTCTTACAAGATTTGGACTTCTGCCGCTGAGTATGTCGAGCTCACGGAAGACCAAGTCTGCTTCTAGGAGCACAGAGAGAGTTCAGGTCAGTCAGTGGGGCTGTACTCGCTTCCTGGCAGTACTCATTCTGCCACCAACACTAGGGCTTGCAGGGAAAGAACAAAGCCAAGCAGTTCATGTTTAACCTCATCTTTATTTTCGGTCAAACCAGAGAACCATTGCAGCAACACAGCACCAGATGGGTTTCCCCCTGACCCTCAACAAACCAACTGATGGCCCCCGGATTTTGGGGGCCCTCTGCTCTGTGGTAAAACATAAGCAATAACCAGCATAAAAATGCAGGGATGAGGCATTTTGAGGTCATTGCATAGAAGACAATTCATTTAAAGATGGCTGCAGGAACTCTTGAAGGATACAAGCTAATTTATCTGAACTCCTTTCCAGTGGGATGCGGACCTCTAACTCCTGACGAAGCCTGGCTTGGGTATTGAAGCCTGTGTGAGCAGAGTGGTTTGCTTCTCTTGCAAAGGCTTTGTGTTGTCCTGTTTCTGAGTTTTAGAAGTAGACAACGTTGTTACATTTAAAACATCCACTTAGATGGAGATCTCTATGCTGAGGCTTGAGAGCCAAGGAATACCTCACTGCTACAGGAAGCAGTAATTAGTAATCTCTTTCCTTTAGCTATTATTAACACAATAATCCATCTGTGGTTATGTCCCTTCCATAGGGACAGAAAAGGTCTGAGTGTTACCTGAGATGCTGATGCAGTTTACTCTGCAACTCTTGTTCTCCATTATTCATGGTCTGAGACCAGACCAGACATAGTATGAGGGTTGTTTGAAAGCCCAAAGCTTCACACTGAAGGTATTCTTTACCTCTTACACCTCAGCTGGAGTAGAAGCGTGCAGTGGTGTGTGGCTCGCTCCTACCACTCCCCTCGCCTGCTGTGGTGGCACATGTGTGTTGAGTGCTAGCCACACTCCTGTCGACACCTGACAGATGCTTGCTCCTTCTTTTATGCTCAAATGGTTCTGGAGAGGTTAAAGTCCGCTTTGAATGACATCAAAAGAGTCACCTGTTGCTAACAACAGCCAGATGCTGTGCTTCTGCTGCTCAGAACAGTCTGTCACTCACCACCTGGAGTGGCACCGCTTCGGTTGTGGTTCAAGCTCCCATTGCCTGGGAAGAGCTGTTCTGTAGCCTACACCTCCTTGCAGTGGCTGTAGTTGAGGGTGGGGAGAACTCAGAGGTATGCTCTAATAGTTACAGATGCTTTTGTTACATGAACTAACAGGTTCCAGCTCCTGTACTCACAAGAGCAGAAGATGAGGCGTCGCGCCCTGGCTCTTTGTTCAGGCAGCTTGTAACCGAGGAGGAAGACACAGCAGCACCTTCTCTCTTCAAGCTGGGCTGGCTTTCTGGCATGACCAAGTGACCCAGTAAAAACTGAAACATCTGGCTGTGTCTCTGTCTTCACTGAGGTCGTTCTCCCCCCTTGGCAGGGACCGGGGCCACCTCTGCTGGTGCTGTCAGAAGAGGAGTATTGTCTGTCCTTAGCCAGGTCACAGTGCACCAGGTGAACCAGGTGTGGGTCAGGGATGTCCATGCCCTCTGGCTGCAGCTACTCTTTCACCTCCTGTTCCTTAGAAGTTGCTAGCCTTAAAATCAAATTAAAGAAAAAAACCCCAAAACAACCTACACACTAATAGAAAACAAAACATTTCACAGCTAGAAACGGGCACTGGAGCAACATCAGACTCCTCTTGCCATCAGGTACCACCAGTCTGCTCCAGTATGAACCCAGCAGGTGCCTGGCACTGCAGCTCCAGCTGCCTGAACCTTCCTGCTTCTAGTTTCACATTTCAGTACTGCAGCAGTAAAGCTCCATCCAGATAAAGCTCGCCCTGCACTGAGCTAGGTGGGAAGTTTGCCACTGGAGCAGTCCTAAGGGATTCCAGTGGTAGCACCTATTCTCCCTGTCTCGGTGACTCTCAATGCTCAAAGGAATTATGTTGCCAAATAAATTTTTTACTAGTTTATTGAAATTAAAAAAGACTTATAAAACTGAACATGAACGCTGGAAAGAACTTTACAGAAAGCAATAAACTGCTAACAAACAGATTAGGCAGTCGATTGGAACTGGACATTTTGCAATCCTATAACACAAATGGGGATTCCTCAAGTCTCCTCTTGACAAGTACTTTAAAACCACCCCAAAAATGAATCCTATAAAAATTGCTTAAAAGCCCCTTTTGCATTGCAATAGTGCAGCAAACCACAAGTAAACAATTCCCTGTTAACCTGTTATTTCAAATATAGACTGAAAAGGCAACAGGCATTTTGTGCAATTCCATTTTTAACAAACTTTTGAGTTGAAATATCAAATCTACACAGTGCTGTCCCTTCACAGAAGGCAGGGAGCTGCTGGTTCATCATGTGGGAAGGCGTCCCCGGCTCTGTAGGCTGTGAAAGTGTGCCTCCTTCAGGATCTGGTTGATGTGGAAGTAAGGACCTTGGCTTAGTGCAGACTGCTCATGGATGGACTGAGAGGAGACAGGGCTGGATCCCGCAATGACGGGGTTGAGGCTGGTTTCTGCACCGCACGCTCTGTCAGGGCTGTTGATGCTACTGCTACTACAGCTGCTGCTGCTGCTGCCACTATCGCTGCTGGAAGACTGAGACAAAGAGAAGGTTAATGGCAAAATCACACTGTTTTCTCTCCTGTCCGTAACAGGAGACACGTTAGATAAGTAAATCATCTTTACAGTAAGTCCCTCCCCTTCATATTTCAGGCTCACATTCAGCCTGATGGAGTGACATAAATCCACCAAGTGCTTTCTTGGCATTCATCGCTTCCAATACCGCCAACCCATGGAAAGCTCTGCAGAGCTGAAGGGATGAGCAAACTTCCACCTGGAGGTTCACTGACCTCCGGTGCATTGGATTTCATCTTTCAGTGTTAGACCCACCAGCTCTGCCCCCACGACCCACGTTAGCACTAGTGAAGTTTGCCGAGTTCATCCGAGAACTGGGAATAAAGCACATTCCTGCTGAGCTGCAGGGGGCAGTGAAGGCAGACAGGGCAAGGGAGAGCTGTGCTCTTCTCTTCTAGCAGACACTTTAGGTAAGCACCATGCAAAGCAGTTTCCTACAAGTCAATCTTTCTAAAATGAGATCTGAAGCATCCAAAGCAAGAGGTTGTTAAAAGCAGCACAATTCCCATTTTAAGTCTTTGAACACCTTGACATACACACAGCTTTTCCCAATTAAGCACTGGGACAGCAGTGTAGTCCCAGTAGTCTTCCATAATGATTTACTTGACAGCAGAAAAGCATCAAAAAACTTCCACATGCACAAAAGAGAAGTCATGATTTAGCTCACAGAGAGAACAGGGCTCATTTGCCAGCATTACACTTCATGGTAATGACTGGAAGAGCCCTAACCATCATTTTCAGCGTTTCAAAGACATAAAACTCTTTGGCTTACACTGTTTTAAGGGCTGCTAATGAAAGGTTCCATTAGTTACTGCTGAAATGTTTCATTACTGTGCGATAGGCTGTTCAAGACAACACTGGAAATATTTAGGTGCTTAAGAAGGAGAGAATGGCTACACCACCATCCCAGGAGAAGTAAATTCATAAAGGCAGCCAGCAGAAGTGACAGCAAAATAACCCCCCCATATTTTAAGTATTAAACTAAAACCACAGAAGTCAAAGCTCGGTGGCCACAGCAGCAGAAGACCAATTTGAGGAAGTCTACAGTCATTTAAGAGTCAGCACCACATCCAGGAGGCCTCACTGCAGAGGTATCTGAAGGACAGTGCAAACAGCACCCACCGTGTCTGTCAATGAGCAGTGATAACGGCCTAGGAAGGCACTGAATGAGGATTTGGGGTGGACCACACCTCAGCGCCACTGGAAACCCCAGGGCACTGATTCCATATCATGACAATCCAACCTTCTAAATGTCCTTGTTTTATTAAGCACCAAAAATGCTTCAGTTCTGTGGCAGTGCAGCAAGCAAGACAACGGCACCCAGGCTTGCTCCAGCAAGGAGATGACAGCAACACACGGGTAAAGTCATCCTTGAGGAAGCAGCAGCTCCTCTTCCTAACACTGCTAATACTAGAGAGGGAAAGAACCCCAGAAGGACAGGAGGCAGGACATGGTGCTTGCTAGACCATCCCATTTTGCATAGAAGCACAGGTACTGAATGCAATGCTGTTACGCTGGACAAGTCACAGCAGCCTTGGAGAGAAACCCACCGCACAGGACACTTTGTTGCCTTTTAGTCTCTGTTCCTTACTGTTTTTCGTTACAGCCACCTTCTGCAAATGAAGGCAAAAATCGAAATGAGAACCTGGTATTACTGACTGCTGAAGTTTCACATCTCAACAAACATTTTAGAGCAGTTAGCAGTGATTATTTTATGCATCTCTCATCTTTTCAAAGCCTAAATTGTGTCCTGGGACGTGCTTCCTGCACCTAAGGCTGTTGACAGATCTGCTTTGTCAGACCCTCTTTATTTCCATTTCTCTAATGCACTAGCACAGTGAAGCCCATTTATTGCCCAAACCATGTCAGGGACCTACCATTTCCCCAGGCTGTGGTGCACATTCTGTAACGCATTTGGACTACAATTAGACAAAAAAAGAATCCTTATAGTCATCATGTCAGCAATGAGAGTCATCTACACAATGAAACAAAGCAAAAGGGCAAAGGAAAGGAGCCCAGTGAAGGTTTATAAGTACTTTAAGTATCAAAAGGGCATCTTTGAGGTTTACCTGACTCATGAGCACCTCTTAACATCACACTGAGGAGCTACAGAAGTTTTAAATCACTTCCAAGCAAAAGTCCTGTTAAATCTATTAATGTGATTTGTGATGAAGCATCTCACTGTGACAGGAACTTAAGTAACAGTCATTCAGCCCCCTGCTACTCTCCAGATCTTTAATGATTAGTTTACCAGAGGCGTTATCTGGCTTCAGTTTGAATTCAAGACCTCAATCGTGTCACACTGTGGAGCGGCAGAGACAAATCCTGTGACGTGGGAGCAGCGGCGCTGCCGTGCGTCAGCGACCTCCACCCGTAACACAGCGGTGCTGCTGAGCACTGGGGAATCCTGTCATGGGTCAGCACAACAAAGGGGAACCACAAGAAATCAGGTTTTACAGAAGTTATGCAGGAAGGGAGTGACCCAGGACACTGCAGACTTCCTTCCTTCCCAGGGAAAATCAGAGCAAAGGGCTTTGCAGTGGTGATTCCCTGGCTTGTGGGTTCTCCCGTGGCAGCCCCTCAGAGGATCACTACAACTGCCTGACCTGACTTACACCCAGCAAGGAAGGGCTTTTGTTGCATGTATACCCAAGCAGCAGGGACCACAGCAGAGCTGACCTCCTGGTAGAAGGGACAGGCTGAGCAGGAAGCAGAATGCGGTGGCAAAGGCTCTGCCTTGCTAATGTTTAATGTCTGCTCTAGTTCTAGCGCAGTGTTTCATCGTGTGCCAGCTCACAGGCTGAGCTGCAGAGCAGAGGTCTGCTATCATCCTCGGGGTGGCTGTCACTCAGGGGTGGTTTGTTGCAGGAGATGTACTTCATTACAGCAATGTGCCAAGAGCAATATTGATCGAGATGGAAGAGAACCTCAATTTTACTCCTGTAAAAGGCAGAGTGAAGGATCCCGTCTCCCCTGGGTGAAAGGACAGTCTAGTGGGAGAAACCAGCCATGTCCTTTTGCATCGAATCCAGCTCATGTGCGACCCAGGGCTCAAAGGGAGGGACTGAGGGATAACACCAAACAACAGCCCGTTTGAACTGCCATGAAGGAAAACACCTCCCTTCATCCTATACGTACTGCTGTCAGTAGACACAAAATGGGAAGAGATCCTGACAAAATCCAAGCGCAGTTCCAGTATCACATCGCCTCATTTCATACTGAGCTTTATGTTCTCAGTAATCCACACTGTAAAACAGTGAATTTCCAACCAAAGGGAGGCAAAAGGAATCGGTACTTCAGCTCATGTTTCACCATAGCAGGTGTGGGTATGCCCTCAGATGAAAAGCACTTACTGCTCTTCCCTTTGAAGTTACAAACTGCTCCTGCACACACGCTTTCCCTCCTAGCTCAATATCCCAAAGCCTGTGATGATTTTTAATCACAAAGAGCCGTCTTTCCTAATGGCAAAGTATCAGGCAACTGAATAAAAGTATTACAAATGGCCTAGAATTCCAAAGTGCCATCAATCGGAAGCACTTGTGCGCTGTAAGCACATGAATGCCTCCATTTGGCACAGGAAGTCCTTTAAGAGACATTCAACTAAACCTGATTTAATCTCCTGGCTTGAATGTCTGGGCATGCTCAATGTGCTGATCCTACAGTGCAAGAAAACAAGCCAGACTAAAACAAGCTCTATTCATCAGCAGCAACATTGTGAGTTTTGCTCCCTGGAGAAAGGGCA